ACACAAAGATAACGTTCTGAGGCATAAATTGATAAAGGCACTGGCACCAGTTTTTTTTAGGATTTAACTGTACTTCAGTGAGAAGAAAACTTACGACTGAATACGTAAAACGTCTTCTTTAACTCGGTTTGGACTAAATATACACAAGTGTGAAGTGACAAATCCACGGTGGTGAAGTAATCCATCTTCATAATCGAGAGTAGAAGATCACTGTCGTATTAGTGACTTTCATAATAACTATTTTATTAAACTGCACTTAATTCATGTTATTATAATTGATAGTACCACTTTATAATGCATCTTATATTGCAGGAATAAGATAGCCCATAATACGTGTGTATGACAGGACCAAAACCACTTCGTAGTTTCACTTTTCAGTTACCGTGGAATTCTTAACTCATTATTAAAGTTAAGCTTTTTGGTAAATTCAGTATAATAAACATCTGGAAATTGGCAATCAGCTAACTACCCCTTGAGATGTGACATAGAGGGAGCAAAATATATTTGTCAAATAAAAACTAATTTCGACTCATTTGTGAATGAGTCATTGACAATGAAAAATATCTATGTAAAACAAATACGAACTCAAAACTCACACATCGCAATTCTCAAGCTGCATCATATATATGATATTTAAAGACTGTAATCCATGAAGAAGATTTAACTTGAATAATGGGAGGTTGAAATAACAATAATCCCGGTCATATTAACAATCTTGCTAGTTGATGACGTTGAGGGTGAATAATAACAAGGGGGGGTTACTTAAGATTTTCTTTAAATCGTTTATAACGTGCATATAGACTACAAATGGATGAAGGCGTTATGGAGTTAACAAGCAATCAAAGGGTTAGGTAACGTGACTGACAATAAATTGAAAATGTTTTGTTGGGAGTTGCAGTTATTAGGAAGATCTAATGAAGTAACACCAGAAACTATTAAACGTAAAAATCAAAATCATAATGACGATATAAGAGTACAAACATTAACCTAAGTTGGAAAGACAAAAAGGGCAGAATGAAACCAACCGAAACCAAATTGATTTAGGGCCAGAGTAGAGATGAAGACTGTACGTACTCCTTTTGCACACAAATATCAGAGTTCAGTCCATGTATAGTCGAGGTCTCTGTTGTTTTTAGAAGTTGAAGACAAAGGAAAGGTGAGATGTTTGAGTGAATTCGACAGACAACCCTAAAATCATCCTTTGGGTCAGCCAAACGGTTGAAATCGATAAGATGTTCAAGGATAGAACTTCTAATACGTTTCCTTTCATCTTTATAAACGAAGGAAGAATATGTTCTTGTATACGTGCTGAAACCAGTCTCAGATTACGGTCAATGTACATTGCTCCACAGGAATGGGTGAACTGATAGATACACATGGAGGTGGCCTGTCGAGGAATACTGTCTGTTACACGAACAGAGAACAATTCAGAACTAGTAAAGTTCAAATGAAGTTTGGCAGAGGAAAAAGTTCTACTGATTGATCCTAGAAGACGATTTCTCAGGCTGTTTGATGCTGCATCACATTCAAATTCCAGATTCATAAACAAAAACTTTTTAGAAACTGAGCTGATGGATAGTTTTGCATGCTTTTATTGCATATTCTTATCGACAAATCGGCTTAGGTAGCCGTTTTCCGTAAGCTTCCCTCCTAGAAAGTCAAGTTCAACTTGCACAGTCTGTGCTACAAATATTACATATCCGATAGCAGAGTGAGTGAATTAGGTTTTCTCTACTCATGATCGGTACCCAACCGTAGAAGTTAGTAAGCTGTCTCTTCCATTTGAGTTTCCTCTAGATGGATCTCTTCAATGTCCCATTGCGACGTCGTGTAATCAGCACGTCAAGTAAAGAATTAGCTGATTCTAGTTTCCTTTCAATAGTGAATTCTAACGCTGTGTGACAATTGTTGAACTAGCATTCGATATCATCTAGTATGGTATTTGGGTCACAAATAACGGATATATCATCCATATATCGTTTATAGATGTCAGCCTCCCATTAATTAATTTGAATCTTCTTCATGGATTGTATCCTTTGAATATCAAATATGTATACGAATATAAATCTTGAGAATAAATTCGTAGAAAAAAGTCCTCTTCGCCAAATATCTTGTTTTTGAAGTCACGATGGGAATTGTGAATGTATAAATGTTGTTGACGCAAGGCTTGGGAATGTTAGCATTAAAATGTCTCCTTATGTGTTAAGAACATGAGAAACCATTCGGAAGTCAATTGTAAGTATGTTGTCACCCATATTAGCCATTCGTTGATAATATTTCATAATGAGGACACATGGAATTTCTCAGTCTTTCCACTTTTTTCTTGTTAAGGTTTTGATTAACAACAAACAGTTCCGTGTCAACAACAAGCACCATTCAACATCAACAAGAGAAATGTAAAGGAAATAGTCTTTCACCTACCTACCTAGGCAGTATCGTTTCAACTACAAGCGGTATAGGCACAGATAAGGATGTCAAAACCAGGATCGGAAAAGCAAGACAGGCATTCACTTATCTGAAATCAGTGTGGAGACCTACTGCACTCCACTCAGCACAGAGAACAAGATCCAGATTTTCAGCACCAATGTCAAGCCAGTGCTTCTGTATGGCTTAGAAACTTGGCGTGTCACGAAGAGCATTTCCAACAAACTACAGACATTCATCGACAGCTGCCACCTACACTGGCTCGATACTAAAGATCAGATGGCCAGAATATTCAGAACAAGTAACAAGGAACTCTGAGAACGAACCAACCAGGAAGCTATCGACCAACAAATATGCAGAAGAAAGTGGAGATGAATCAGGCATATACTGTGAAAACCATTCTGAGATGTCAAGCGCCACGCCCTCGATTGGAGTTCAAATGCGAAAGGACGAGTTGGGCTTCTCAGCTTAGGGCGACATGGAGGAGATCATGTGAGGAAGAAATGAAAGCTTGGGGGCAGTCGTGAAGTCAGGTCCAAAAGGCTGCAGAGAAAAGAATTCAATGGAGGCGTGCTACTGAATCCCTATGTTCCACTAGGAGCCCGAGAGAAAAATAATAATAGTAAATAGTCCTGTGAATATTTCTTTGATTAGCCCCTAAAATGCCACAATGGAGCGTCCAATTATACTTTAGATAGGCTCTTAAGTTAGATTCTCCCAGGATGCATAAAGCCACACACAGTAAGTCTGGCAAACTAAGATTAAAAACTGTTCATTTTAGTTTTGTGCAAATCTTGCCAGTGAAAAGTACTGATTTTACCAAAGTCTCAGTGCAAAATGTTACCTTGGATCTATCGACTTATGGTGTGAATCAATTCTAAACTGCTCAGTCCAAAATAATTAGAAAATTTGAAGAGTAATATTATAGAAAACATAACACTTGCCAATCGCTCCTATTCTGGGACCCTACTTGCTTATAACTCGTTATTTATGCAACCGCTTCTTAGCACTATTGCATTAGCCAAAAGCTACTCTGGTCTACGACAAAATTTAAATTAGATCTTTTTGCTGATAAAAATGGGATTTAGTAGTATGAATTCTAGGTTTCCTTAAAGTCATTAGCAGCTAAAGTGAAGGCACTCAGCGATACCCATGTTTATTCGAAATTTAAAGTACAACTTACGAATGAAATGTCATGGTCCCTTGGTGATTTTAATGTGCTACTGTTGGATAAGACGTAAACATTTTCCCTGTCACAACGCGTAATAATCATACGTTCAGGTTATCCATAGCTCATAGCTGTGTTAATTTTCCAACGGTTACTCTTGGATCACCTCCATTCCATCATCAGTCTTTAAGTTACAGATGCTTAGTGGTTAATAAAAACTAGCTTAACGGATCACTCACCTTTGAGGTAGAATTCATTAAGGACTGACAACAGTTGGAGAACAACTGAAAACTTGGGAGTACCGGACAGCTATTTCATTCGAGTGTGGTCCTTCTCACCGGTACGTTCCCACGACCCAGATAAGCATCAAGCTAAGGACCATTAGGTTTTACAGCGTTAACAATTCAGCCACTGGCAGCAGTTTCCTACTTCTATCATTTTGTGATATGAGTCCCAATTTACCTTAAAATATATTAATTTTTAATGCTCATTAGTGACATGCTTCGAGACGAATATCCCGAAGTTCTAATAAGAAGCTATGACCTGTGAAGTCAACCAGTGGAAAGGGAAGCGGATGCCAAATGAAGACCTTGGTGGATAGTCTCGTTATATCGTGAATTGACAGAAGTAAGAAATTGCGGACCATTGAACTTCAACTAACTGATTGAGTGCTTAACACGTTCGCCGTGGAGAGTGAAGGTCCTGAGTTTGTTTGATCTCTGGTTTAGTCGTGGATGCGTACTGCTGAGGAGTCGCATAGTAGGACGAAACAGCTATCCAGTGCTTCTAGGTTTTCAGTGGCTCCTATGATGTATATCACCTTAAAATTAAAATCCTCAATAACCCCAACATAGGTTTATTCATCTATCATTTTGAAAAAGATTGGTAAAATTTAACGCTTTAATACGAAATTGAAATATACAAAAGGACAAAAGTTAATAAATGATTACTTTATGCAACTGATTCCCCTCACAAATTTTAATGCAGCAGGAAAAGGGTTCAAAAGAATGCAGTGAATGCAAAGGAATAACATCAGTACTGACAAAGCATCTTATTCTTTTCCTACTAAAACTTAAAGCTACGTAGGATAAAAAATTCATGCTACTCCTCTACTCAGTATTTGTAGCAAATGACAAATCTTAGTAAAGTGATAAAAACAAGTTCTATAAAGTACGATGATATCATAGTATGTCTTTGTTGCCACATACTTGTCTTCAGTATGAAGTAAATGCTGAAGATTAAACCTGCAAGAATAGACTACAAAGTATAGAGAATAAGAAACAACTATCTTATACACCTATTTTATAATCCTTTTCATAAAGTTATGTGAATTCACAGTGGGCTTTTCAAATTTAGTAAGGCAAACAGTGATACAGATTTAAGCTCATACATCTGTTAGAAAGCTTACCTGACATTATAACTGAACGAATATCATCGGTCGAAAGTATCCTTCTTAATAAACCTCATAACTTATTGCTTTGTATAGGTAAAGATCCATTCCCAGAAGAGAATAGGAAGCGGTAATATTGTTATATTTCTGTGCAAATTTCTTGCAAATTAGTCAACGTTTATATCCAATGTATCCTCAGAATTAAATGTTACCAGTTGTCTGATCGATCCCATGTTGCGATAATATTAGTATTAATAGTAGCAAGATTTAAAAGTGACATTTTGTTTTTAGTAGCACTGTCATGTTGCGAACTCTGTAATCTTTGAATAATAAAACGACTTGTTGTGTTCTTTCTTCAGACAGAGTGAAACAGAAAATCACGCCTGTATTGAATATTGTTTGATAAAGACCATCTAAACAGGTATTTTATCGTGAATATTGTACTGGGATAATTTCTTTTCTTCCATGTCTTGTAGTCTTTCGTAAATCTAAGTTGATTATTCAACTCAGTGACGAATAAACTGTTGACAAATTAAACTCTATTTTACCATTTGCTTGCATGAATTTTAACTTCGTGCCAATGAGAAAATAGCTTTTGGTGTCTATCTTCGAATTCATCTGTTAATAATTTAATAATGTTTTGTTTAAACTCACTATATAAATCACTGAATTTATCAGCATTTATTATATCAAAAATTTATTATATCAGACAGGTTTCCCTCAGTGTGTGTGTGTGTGCGCACATATGCAAGCTTGTTTTCAGATCATTAATTAATTGACGCACATAAGGACGGACATCTTTTTTAAGTGGTAGAAAGCGTGTGTGTACAAGACAAACAATTAAAGTCAGCAATTTATGTGCAAATAACCTCGCCTGGTTAACTAGTTTACTAGTTACTAGCCGGTCCTAAGCCCGGGTAAAGAGGGAAGGTTGGGCATAGGGCTAGCAACCCTACCCCGTAAAACAAATCTAACCGCTAAAGAAACTTCAAAGCACAAACAAAATATAAAAAATGAAAACAAACTTATTCCCCGCTGGAATCGGAGAGGCGAAATGACGCCAGTTGGTGAAAGCCTTCGGGAAGCCAATTGGCCGATGTGTCTTCTCTCGATGAAAGCGAAAGTAAACGTGGGGACATGGAATGTCCGCACGATGTTTGAACCCAGTAAGGCAGCCCAGATTGCAAAGGAGATGAGAAGGTATAACATCGAAGTGCTTGGGATTTGCGAAAGCAGATGGAATGGGAGTGGACTCTCCAAACTGTCAACGGGAGAATCAATAATCTACTCCGGTCACCCAGACGCCAACCACGAGCACACTGAGGGAGTGGCTATCATGATGTCCTCAAGAGCATCGAAGGCTCTCATGCAGTGGGAACCAATCTCCTCCAGGATCATGACAGCAAGATTCAACTCAAAAGGAAGAAAGGTCACAATCATACAATGTTATGCACCTACAAATAATGCAGAGCAAGAGAAAAAGGAGGAATTCTACAGACAACTTCAGTCAACACTGGACAAGACGTCAGTTGGCGATATCAAAATTCTAATGGGCGACATGAATGCCAAACTGGGAGGGGACAACACGGGAAGAGAACTAACCATGGGTCGAGAGGCGCTAGGTGAAATGAATGAGAATGGAGAATTGTTTGCAGAATTCTGTGCATTCAACGATTTGGTGATTGGAGGCAGTGTGTTCAGGCACAAGGATATCCACAAAGCGACATGGATTTCACCAGATGGACACACTAAAAACCAAATCGACTTTATCTCAATCTCAAGAAAATGGAGACGCAGTCTACTTAACACAAGGTCAAGAAGAGGAGCAGATGTAGGTTCAGACCACTATCTAGTGCAAGGAACCTTCGAAATCAAGTTAAAAGCCTTCAAGGAAGCTGGTGATAGACCTCAATTCAAGTACAACACTCGGAAACTGAAGGATGAAACTACAAAGGAGATCTTCAAAGCAGCCATCAAGACAAAATGGGAGACGTCGAGGGACATCCCTGAAGAAACCTGTGTAGAAGAACACTGGAAGTCTTTGAAAGCTATGTGGAAAGAAACCTGCACAACAGTATTAGGAAGGAAGAAGGGAAGACAAGGAATGGATCTCGACGGATACCTGGAAGCTGATAGAGGAGAGGAGGATGGTGAAGCAGAAGATAAACCAGTGCAAGGATGCTCAACGACAAGAGGAACTGAGCACAATGTATAAAACACTGGATAAAGAAGTGAAGAAGAGTGCACGCAAAGACAAACGACACTTCTACGACACACTGGCAAGTGAAGCAGAACAGGCTGCAGGTAAGAGAGACCTGACGACATTGTATCAAATAACCAGGTTGCTATCAGGGAAGAGACCAACACAGATGAAACCAATAAAAGATGAAGAAGGAAATTTAATTACAAAAGAAGAGAAACAGAGGAAACGATGGGCCGACCACTTCAAGAAGCTCTTGAATCGACCACCACCTGCACTTCGTCCAGAAATACCACCTGCAGCCGCTGAATTACAAGTGAACATAAATCCCCCAACGAAAATGGAAGTCCTGAACGCCATAAAGCTACTGAAATGCGGGAAAGCAGCAGGACCAGATGGAATACCGCCAGAAGCACTGAGAACAGATGCAGAGACAACAGCGGACATGCTCACACCACTATTGCAGAAGGTGTGGAGGAAGAGAAGGTACCTGACGATTGGAAGAAGGGTTACCTTGTCAAACTGCCGAAGAAGGGAGACCTCAGTGCTTGCAAGAACTGGCGAGGAATCACTCTCCTATCCACCCCAAGTAAAATATTAAGCCGCATCATCCTGGAGAGGCTTAAAGACGCACTGGATTCAAAACTGCGACCGGAACAGGCAGGCTTCAGGAAGTACAAATCATGTGCTGACCAAATTGCAACGCTTCGTATCATCATAGAACAGAGCGTAGAATGGCAATCAGCTCTATACCTCAACTTCATCGACTTTGAGAAGGCCTTTGACAGCGTCGACCGAGAAGTAATTTGGAAACTGCTTCAATACTACGGAGTACCGCAAACCTTTATCCGCCTCATTCAACAACTATATGAAGATGCCACATGCCAAGTAATCCACAATGGGAAGCTCAGTGATGCCTTTGAAGTGAAGACAGGAGTGAAACAAGGTTGCCTACTATCCCCCATGATATTCCTAATTGTGGTGGACTGGATCATGCAGCAAACAGTAGGCAGCGAGAAGAGGGGGATACACTGGACGACGGAAAAGAACCTAGAAGACTTGGATTTCGCCGATGACTTATGCCTAATGTCACATAAACTTGAAGATCTGCAGGCAAAAACTAACAAGTTGACAGAGGAGGCAGCTAAGACGGGACTTCAGGTGAATATAGAGAAGACAGAAGTGATGAAGATACCGCACCACCACCATCAACAACAACAACAAACTCCAATCACCGTCAACGGTAGAAACTTGAAGGAAGTAACCTCCTTCACTTATCTAGGAAGCACTGTTTCAACTACAGGCGGGACGGACGAGGACGTCAAAGTCAGAATCGGAAAAGCAAGACAGGCGTTCATTAGCCTGAAACCAGTGTGGAGATCTTCTGCACTCAGCATGCGGAACAAGATACGGATTTTCAACACCAACGTCAAGTCAGTGCTCTTGTATGGCTCAGAGACTTGGCGCGTCACGAAAGGCATTTCCAATAAACTACAGACATTCATCAACAACTGCTTACGCTCGCTGCTGAAGATCAGATGGCCAGAAAAAATAAGCAACAAGGAACTCTGGGAACGAACCAACCAAGAACCTATCACGCAACAAATATGCAGGAAGAAGTGGAGATGGATTGGCCATGCACTGAGAAGGCCGACTGAGGACATCACGCGTCAGGCCCTCGAGTGGAATCCCCATGGGAAGCGACGAGTTGGACGTCCGAGGGTGACATGGAGGAGGTCGTGCGAGGAGGAAATGAGAGCTTCTGGGCTGTCGTGGAACCAGGTTCAAAAGATCTCAGAGAACAGAGGTCACTGGAGGCGTGCTACTGAAGCCCTATGTTCCACTAGGAACCCAAGGGACTAATAATAAAATAATAATTTATGTGCAAATATTATCATACCATTGATATAATTCCCATTCCACTCAATCAGCATTAAGTAAACAAATCACGTTCTTAATGGTTAAGAGGAATACTTGTCAGAGTAATTTCACGCTCATTCAACAGAGATATAAACCATGGTATATAATGTATTTTGAGGTTAATGAGAATTTTAATTTTAAGATAATATTCATCGCTAACTGATATAAATTGGAGAACAGCTGAAAACCCAGGAGTACTGGACAGCTTTTTTGTCCTAGTATGGGACTGCTCAGCAGTACCCTCATAACTGCCATCCTTCGAGATGGATATCCGAGGTTCTGGTGAGAAGCCTTGACTAGTGGAGTCGACCAGTCAGAAATGAACCGGATGCCAAATGAAGACCTTGGTGAGTAGTCGCACCATATCTTGAAATAACAGAAGTAGGAAATTGCGGACCATTGAACTCCAATTCAGTACATGAGGAATAGCTGCCAGCTGTATTCTGAATTATGCATTACATGAACTCATTATCAGTGGAGCAGTCAATAGGTTTTAGATAAAATTTCTGAATATGGTGATTTGCTTCCACTGCCTAGAACCAAGTTAAAACGACCGATAATTCTCAGCAAATAACATACTGTCTAATTATGAAACTAATTTACCAATGAATTGACACTTGATCCATGGTTCAGGCACTAAAACCTTTCATAACTGACACCTTTATAGATCATCCAAAGTAGATAGGGTTTGGCTAATTATTACGAAAAAATAGTTAATGCATTAATTGTTTTGTGAAGATAGAAAATATCCATTTAAACCTAGTTCTACAGGGTGCTATTCATAGCCTAATAGTTTGACAGTAAGATTTTGATGTCAGCATGTGTTGTAGATTCGAATTCGAAAGAAAAATAAATTTTTATCCTTATCTGGAATGGAATTTGTAACGGGTGCTAACAAATTCTAAACCTAGGCCTAGGAGTCCCCCTCTTTCAGTTTTTAATATCTAACACCAAATACCTTTAAACTGCCTTATAAGCTGGATGAAAGACATTTCAGCAATCAAAAATAAATAACTCATTTACTATCAAGGAAGACATGATATCATTCAGAGTAGATACAGAGATTAAATTATAGCTGGAAAGAATTTTGCTACAATCAAATTACTGCTCGCACCATATTAAATGTATATTTTCATAACGAGTAATTCTGTTTCAGTATTCCTATTCTTCACCATACCTTTTACAACTATTTTCACATGCTCATAAAGTCAAAATTTGAGATGGTTAGTTCAAAATTTAATGTTTTCACAGTGAATTACAGTCTCAGGAAACTATCTTAAATGAATATGCTTGTAAATGAGAGCAAACCAGTTGCCTTAATTTATGAGAAGTCGCACTTATTTCTG